AGTTCGAAAGGTGACTTCTTAAGGATGCTGTGTCGTGATATTCGAATATCTTCCAAAATTGACTTGACTGCTGTTTGTATATCCTCAAAATTTGGGTCCAATTGCATTGTGCCTAATTTTCTTTTTATGGTTTGGATACATCTTTCTACTAATCCACACCCCCGATGGTCTCCTACTGGGCAAAAGATTTGATTTATTCCCTTCGATTTACAAAATTCTGCTAGTTTCGCATTTTTGAATCCCGAATATTGATCTGTCCTTAAATTCTTTGGTATGGTATGTTGGTGTATGTAGTTTTTTAAGAATTTGAGTATTTTTTCGCTCCCCGACTTCCTGGTGATCTTGGCAGAAGGGTATTTCGAAAATCGATCAATAGCGACTATTAAGAATAGTTTCTTTCCCTTAGAATCGAACATTGGGCCAGCACTTCTATTTGTAATTCCTCGTTCACCTCTGATAATTCTGGTAACGGTTCTGCCGAATTGAATGTTTTAGACGTTTTAAGGTACTTACCATACGCTGAACATGATCTGCAGGTTTGGCATAAATCAATGATCTCCCTATGCATTTTCGGCCACCACAGATATTGTGCCGCGTCCACCATTGCCTCCTGTCCTGGGTGTGTTCTGCGCAATCGGGCCATTACTGCTTTCCTCAGACAAGTTGGTATTGCCACTCTATTGTCAATAACGATGCAGTCGTTGATTACCGAGGCGTCGTCCCAAAAGTTTGCCATGTAGCTGCCCAATCTCAAGAATCCTTTTCTATCCTTTGCTAGGATGTGTTTCCTTAGTTGGCCTAACTGGCTGTCTTCCGTCGTGAGTTCCCCAATAGATCTGCATCGAGTATGTTATGGAGGCCTGTGGTGAATGATTTCTTGTTTGTGTTCACTGGAGCTCCTTGTTCTTTCTTCTTTCCAACTTTATCTGCTATGATGTTGACCCTCACTGTCTTTTTCATTCTGTTAGTTCTGAAGTTTGCCAGCATTCGAGCGTAGTTCATCTTGTTCTTATTTACGATACTGATCCTTTTCCTTTTCCTGCTCTCGGTTATCATCTCCACTGTCTGTCATATTTCTGCTCTATTTCTTTCCTCAATCGGGTTTTCCATCTGTTTTATGGATGGCAGGATTAATTTACTCAATTTCCTCTGAAAATATTGTTTTGTTGAATTGATTATGAATTTATTTGAGCTAGTGATGTTTAAGTTTAAGGTCGGGGACAATGAATTTTGCATATTTTTGGCTGAATATAACTCCCTTGCTTCTGATTGGTTGGATTTTGTTACGACGCCCTCTCATGGTGAACTGGTTAGATATGGCGAAGTTGTGAATAAATTAAAAATTGACGAATCTGATTGGTTACAATTTTTACCGCATGATTTTCCGATCTGTACTTGAGAAATGTGAATTTGCATACATTGATCTGATTGGATAGTGTCAGTTCCGCATGACGATGCGCCCTCTTGCGGATGTGTGAACATTTGCATATTTGATCCTGATTGGTTGATACTTGTTCCTTCCGCATCGGATGTTTTGTTACTTTTTGCGGTTCTGCATCGAGGATCTGATTGGATAACTTTTTTGTACGAGATATCGACGCCCCCTTGCGGTGCTTCGGAAAGTGGGTGTTTTCCTTCTTTGAAATTATCCTGTTTTCCTCTCGGTGGGCCTTGACTAATTGGATTTTTTCAGTTTCTTTTGTCGGCGCTGGAGTGTTAATCACCCTACATGCCTCATCAAAGTTTTCGATGTCTTTGACTACAAACTGTTCGTCGTATTTTGATGTAGGTGGTGCCTCAAATTTAGGGCTTCTTGATAAGTATTCTGCCATTCCTATTTTAGCTCCTGCGATTTGAGAAATTGTATATTCATATGGTAGCATTCTGTCTGCCCATCTTGTCAGCCTGGATTGGTATGTTTTGTTGCCCCGATTTTCTGATAATGCTGTGACTATGGCCTTGTGGTCGGTTATTATTTGGAATTGGTTTCCCAATAAATAATTTCTAAAGAATTCACATGACCATACCACCGCTAGTAGTTCGAGCTCGTTAGTGCTGTACTTTTGTTCAGCTGCATTCAAAAATCTTGATGTGAATGCGATTGGTACCCATTTGTCCGGTTCCAATTCTTGCTCTAATGCAGCCCCCAATCCTTTGTGACTGGCGTCACATTTAATCCTGCATTGTTTGGTGGCATCGTAATGGTGCATTTTTGTTATGTTGGCGATTAGTTCCAGGGTTTTCTTAAATGCGTTGTTTGCTTCTTCACTCCAAATGAATTTTTCTTTGTTATCCGCCTTCACTGATGGGCGTAATGGTTCGGTGTGTTTTTGGAGATTGGGTATAAATCTGGACATGTGATTTAAAATACCCATGAATGATCTCAGTTGTTTCAGAGATTTTGGCGGTTGTAATGCCATTACTGCTTCTATCTTCGAGTATTTTGGTCTCACTCCTGTCTCATCTATCTCGAATCCCAGCCAGATTAATTTTGTTTTTGAAAATTCACATTTGCTGAGTTTTAGCGCAAATCCTTCTTTGTCTAACTTTGACAGGACTTTGTCAACTGTTTCATTGTGTTCCGTGACTGAACCTTTTGATACTATTAGTATGTCATCTAAGAAACAGATGACTCCTTGAATTCCTTGGATTGTGTTGTCCATTGCTTTCTGGAATTCCTTTGGCATGTCTGTTAGTCCATAAAATCCGGTTTTGAATCTGTACGTTCCAGTAAATTCCCCGCATACGATGCTGAAGTTACAGTGTTTGCTCACGAATTCGTCTAATGGGAGTTGACTGAATGCGTACTTTAGATCTAGTGACGTAAACCAGACTGTGCCTTCTGTCTTGGCTGTAATTATTTGAGCTGCTGAGTGGAGTAGTTCTAATAAATTTGGCATCTGAAATTTATTTTTGAAGATCTGTGAGCTCATTGGTTTTGCGTCCATTGCTAATTTCACCGTGCCGTCCTTTTTTTGCCGTTATGACTACTGGAGCTACGAAATGATCACTTGTGCATTTATCAAGTTTTACTATTGCGAAAAAAATAATTATTGTTCCGACTTTCGATACGAAAGTAACGGAATATTTGTGCTCGGGGTGGGTTTTTTTTTCTTCAGACAAATTTCGACTTTTTAACTAGCCATTTTTGACGGAATTTTTTTATTTCATTCAAAAGGTATTGTTGTCCTGAGCTCAAATTTGAAAAGATATTTCACCTGTGAGCATTTGTCGTAAAGTTATGGGGATTTAAAGATTGCCATTTTGGCCAACTTGGGACAATTAACGCGCGATATATTTCGCGCTATTAACGCGTAAGCGGAGAGTTCGTCTTAAAATTCGTCTTAAAATTGTTCCAAATTGGTTGAAAGAAGCTTATTTGCCATAATTGAATTGTTATAAGGAGCTAAATCTATCGTTTTGTACATTAAATGGCGTGTGGGGGGATGATTTTCATTAAAAAAAAATCAAATTAAAAAAAAAAAATTTATTTTATTACATTTAATTTTTAATGATATTACTGCTCCATAAAACCTTAAAAGGCAGTCGGAACATTCAGGGCTTCGCCCTGATACGAGCAGTCTTGTTTATTTCGCAAATACATATAACCATCGGCGGTGAAAAAATTGTTTTCCTCAAACTTTTGATTAAACTTTAGTTTCTTGGTTTGAGAAGACTAATTCATCAACTTCTTAAGTCGTACTTTGAATACCGCAAACAGTATATTGAAGTTGTGGGACATAAAACAGGAAAAAATGGATGCCACAAAGTTCAATACCGCGACCTTTGCTATTTATCATTTACCTCAATGATTTTTTGGTCATTGAACAAAGCAACGTCAGACTTGTTATTTATGCAAATGACACAATACTAAAAACGAGCAAAAAAAATTCAGCAAGCAATGCATATGCATCAGAGAATTTTAGGCATTGCAAATACATGGCTATCGGAAGTTAAACTAAACTTGAGTAAAAAAAAGAAACAGTTTTCTTTGATGAGAAAACCAATGGACAAAAAAGAAAAACTTCAATGCTTTGAATACAAAGGCGTTAACAAAATTTGAATCTAAGCTTTCATAATCACAACGAATAAATAAGAAAAAATGCATGCTTCAGTTCTTTGGAATCTTTTATCAAATAGGCAAATTCTTATGCTCAAAACAATTGACCATAGAGTAAAAAACTAAATTCAAGCAGTTCTGCAAAAAAAAATTACCTCTGAAAAAACTGTTTTGCATATAAAAATTAGAGAAGTGTTCAACATGATTATCTTTTTTTCCAATTTTGATAAATTTTTATCAGAACAGCAACTAGGGAACAAGTTAACAACTTCATTCACATTTAATTATTTCACATTGTAGAATTATTTTTTGGATAAGAGGCATTTGAAGGTTTTTAAAGACTTAAATAATGGAAGATTCATTAAATTTAAATTGAGAAAAGCAGTGTTTTTTTTTCAATTTCTAGATCTCGGTTCTTATCTACACTGCAGAATTATAAAAACAGAAAATGCAGGTGCAAAACAGTCAATCTTTTTTCTGAATTGAAGCGCCAGAAAAGTGACGTCCTCTCAATCTATATTTTTGTCAGCGAATAAATAAGAACCCTGTAAAAATTAGAGTAATCCTAGATTGGGAACAGTTTTAATATGGTTATTATTGAGCCTTTCTAAAAATTTTAAAACATTTTTTGGTCTCTTTTTTTAAAGAATTTTCTGTGGCCCAAAATGATGCAATTTTGATTTTTAAAAAAAGCATTTTTCAATAAGTTTGTCATATGAAATATTAATACCTAGGGACCAAGGTAACATCCCCTAAAACGATGTATTAAGGAGGAAAAAACGATTTATAAATGAGGATGTTAACTTGGTTCTAAGAACATTGTACAGGCAGCGCTGAGACATTTTTCCCACATAAATGTTGAGGAGGAAGATCTCTCAACTTGATCTTATGAGGGGCAGGATGTTAATTTGATCCACGATTATCAGTTTCCCTCTTGTACCTCATAATCTGCTGGATCCCACTGGATGAACTGGTCCTGCCAGTAGAGTCTCTGCCAGATGAGAGTGGAGAGGGTCTCCAGTTTGACATCGAACCCCACCAGCTGATACAGTGCAGCTCCAAATGTCAAATTCACGACTCCTAATAAATCGATGCAAGTTCTTCTCAGTTTCATCTATCTTATTAGTTTATGAACGCTTGGATGTCTTAGAAACGTAAATGGCTTAAACGTTTTGCAATATGCTGAGCCTAGCTTCGTCAAATTTTTTCGTTCTGATTCGTAGGCGGAAAATGTAGCTTCTTTCGTATTTATTCACTGATAACCAAGTTTTCATCTGCTACTCAAGTTCTTCTTTGCGGCCTTTTACTTAAAGTTCGACAATTTTCGTAGATCGATAAAGTAATCAGTTTTTTTATAATTTGTTCCATTAATTTTGAAAATCTCAACCAGATATAAAACATCCGACACCTTTCTGCTCAGAGCTCTTAAGTGGTTTTGTTTATCAATCAAGCTATCAGTTTTCTAGATGAAGGACGAGGGCACTGCAACCTTGTTCGAGGTGTCCTGGTTTTATGCATCACTTTACTTTCAGTTATAAGCTGAGGAGGGACTGCATCCTTGTTCGAGGTGTCCTGTTTTAATGCATCACTTTACTTTCATTTATAAGCTGAGGATGGACTGCCTCCTTGTTCGAGGTGTCCTGTTTTTATGCATCACTTTACTTTCAGTTATAAGCTGAGGAGGGACTGCATCCTTGTTCGAGGTGGCCTGTTTTTATGCATCACTTTACTTTCAGTCATAAGCTGAGGAGGGACTGCATCCTTGTTCGAGGTGTCCTGTTTTTATGCATCAGTTTACTTTCTGTTATAAGCTGAGGAGGGACTGCATCCTTGTTCGAGGTGTCCTGTTTTTATGCATCACTTTACTTTCAGTTATAAGCTGAGGAGGGACTGCATCCTTGTTCGAGGTGTCCTGTTTTTATGCATCAGTTTACTTTCTGTTATAAGCTGAGGATGGACTGCCTCCTTGTTCGAGGTGTCCTGTTTTTATGCATCACTTTACTTTCAGTTATAAGCTGAGGAGGGACTGCATCCTTGTTCGAGGTGGCCTGTTTTTATGCATCACTTTACTTTCAGTCATAAGCTGAGGAGGGACTGCATCCTTGTTCGAGGTGTCCTGTTTTTATGCATCAGTTTACTTTCTGTTATAAGCTGAGGAGGGACTGCATCCTTTTTCGAGGTGTCCTGTTTTTATGCATCACTTTACTTTCAGTTATAAGCTGAGGAGGGACTGCATCCTTGTTCGAGGTGTCCTGTTTTTATGCATCAGTTTACTTTCTGTTATAAGCTGAGGAGGGACTGCATCCTTGTTCGAGGTGTCCTGTTGTTATGCATCACTTTACTTTCAGTTATAAGCTGAGGAGGGACTGCATCCTTGTTCGAGGTGTCCTGTTTTTATGCATCAGTTTACTTTCAGTTATAAGCTGAGGAGGGACTGCATCCTTGTTTGAGGTGTCCTGTTTTTATGCATCACTTTACTTTCAGTTATAAGCTGAGGAGGGACTGCATCCTTGTTCGAGGTGTCCTGTTTTTATGCATCACTTCACTTTCTGTTATAAGCTGAGGAGGGACTGCCTCCTTGTTCGAGGTGTCCTGTTTTTATGCATCACTTTACTTTCAGTTATAAGCTGAGGAGGGACTGCCTCCTTGTTCGAGGTGTCCTGTTTTTATGCATCACTTTACTTTCAGTTATAAGCTGAGGAGGGACTGCATCCTTGTTCGAGGTGTCCTGTTTTTATGCATCACTTCACTTTCTGTTATAAGCTGAGGAGGGACTGCCTCCTTGTTCGAGGTGTCCTGTTTTTATGCATCACTTTACTTTCAGTTATAAGCTGAGGAGGGACTGCATCCTTGTTCGAGGTGTCCTGTTTTTATGCATCACTTTACTTTCTGTTATAAGCTGAGGAGGGACTGCCTCCTTGTTCGAGGTGTCCTGTTTTTATGCATCACTTTACTTTCTGTTATAAGCTGAGGAGGGACTGCATCCTTGTTCGAGGTGTCCTGTTTTTATGCATCACTTTACTTTCAGTTATAAGCTGAGGAGGGACTGCATCCTTGTTCGAGGTGTCCTGTTTTTATGCATCAGTTTACTTTCTGTTATAAGCTGAGGAGGGACTGCATCCTTGTTCGAGGTGTCCTGTTTTTATGCATCAGTTTACTTTCTGTTATAAGCTGAGGAGGGACTGCATCCTTGTTCGAGGTGTCCTGTTTTTATGCATCACTTTACTTTCAGTTATAAGCTGAGGAGGGACTGCATCCTTGTTCGAGGTGTCCTGTTTTTATGCATCACTTTACTTTCTGTTATAAGCTGAGGAGGGACTACCTCCTTGTTCGAGGTCTCCTGTTTTTATGCATCACTTTACTTTCAGTTATAAGCTGAGGAGGGACTGCATCCTTGTTCGAGGTGTCCTGTTTTTATGCATCACTTTACTTTCAGTTATAAGCTGAGGAGGGACTGCATCCTTGTTCGAGGTGTCCTGTTTTTATGCATCAGTTTACTTTCTGTTATAAGCTGAGGAGGGACTGCATCCTTGTTCGAGGTGTCCTGTTGTTATGCATCACTTTACTTTCAGTTATAAGCTGAGGAGGGACTGCATCCTTGTTCGAGGTGTCCTGTTTTTATGCATCAGTTTACTTTCAGTTATAAGCTGAGGAGGGACTGCATCCTTGTTCGAGGTGTCCTGTTTTTATGCAACAGTTTACTTTCAGTTATAAGCTGAGGAGGGACTGCATCCTTGTTCGAGGTGATCTGTTTTTATGCATCAGTTTACTTTCAGTTATAAGCTGAGGAGGGACTGCATCCTTGTTCGAGGTGTCCTGTTTTTATGCATCACTTTACTTTCAGTTATAAGCTGAGGAGGGACTGCATCCTTGTTCGAGGTGTCCTGTCTTTATGCATCACTTTACTTTCAGTTATAAGCTGAGGAGGGACTGCATCCTTGTTCGAGGTGTCCTGTTTTTATGCATCAGTTTACTTTCAGTTATAAGCTGAGGAGGGATTGCATCCTTGTTCGAGGTGTCCTGTTTTTATGCATCACTTTACTTTCAGTTATAAGCTGAGGAGGGACTGCATCCTTGATCGAGGTGTCCTGTTTTAATGCATCAGTTTACTTTCAGTTATAAGCTGAGGAGGGACTGCATCCTTGTTCGAGGTGTCCTTTTTTTTTATGCATCACTTTACTTTCAGTTATAAGCTGAGGAGGGACTGCATCCTTGTTCGAGGTGTCCGGTTTTTATGCATCAGTTTACTTTCAGTTATAAGCTAAGGAGGGACTCCATCCTTGTTCGAGGTGTCCTGTTTTTATGCATCAGTTTACTTTCAGTTATAAGCTGAGGAGGGACTGCATCCTTGTTTGAGGTGTCCTGTTTTTATGCATCACTTTACTTTCAGTTATAAGCTGAGGAGGGACTGCATCCTTGTTCGAGGTGTCCTGTTTTTATGCATCACTTTACTTTCAGTCATAAGCTGAGGAGGGACTGCATCCTTGTTCGAGGTGTCCTGTTTTTATGCATCAGTTTACTTTCTGTTATAAGCTGAGGAGGGACTGCATCCTTGTTCGAGGTGTCCTGTTTTTATGCATCAGTTTACTTTCTGTTATAAGCTGAGGAGGGACTGCATCCTTGTTCGAGGTGTCCTGTTTTTATGCATCACTTTACTTTCAGTTATAAGCTGAGGAGGGACTGCATCCTTGTTCGAGGTGTCCTGTCTTTATGCATCAGTTTACTTTCAGTTATAAGCTGAGGAGGGACTGCATCCTTGTTCGAGGTGTCCTGTTTTTATGCATCACTTTACTTTCAGTTATAAGCTGAGGAGGGACTGCATCCTTGTTCGAGGTGTCCTGTTTTTATGCATCACTTCACTTTCAGTTATAAGCTGAGGAGGGACTGCATCCTTGTTCGAGGTGTCCTGTTTTTATGCATCACTTTACTTTCAGTTATAAGCTGAGGAGGGACTGCATCCTTGTTCGAGGTGTCCTGTTTTTATGCATCACTTTACTTTCAGTTATAAGCTGAGGAGGGACTGCATCCTTGTTCGAGGTGTCCTGTTTTTATGCATCAGTTTACTTTCAGTTATAAGCTGAGGAGGGACTGCATCCTTGTTCGAGGTGTCCTGTTTTTCTGCATCAGTTTACTTTCAGTTATAAGCTGAGGAGCGACTGCATCCTTGTTCGAAGTGTCCTGTTTTTATGCATCACTTTACTTTCAGTTATAAGCTGAGGAGGGACTGCATCCTTGTTCGAGCTGTCCTGTTTTTATGCATCACTTTACTTTCTGTTATAAGCTGAGGAGGGACTGCCTCCTTGTTCGAGGTGTCCTATTTTTATGCATCACTTTACTTTCAGTTATAAGCTGAGGAGGGACTGCATCCTTGTTCGAGGTGTCCTGTTTTTATGCATCAGTTTACTTTCTGTTGTAAGCTGAGGAGGGACTGCATCCTTGTTCGAGGTGTCCTGTTTTTATGCATCACTTTACTTTCAGTTATAAGCTGAGGAGGGACTGCATCCTTGTTCGAGGTGTCCTGTTTTTATGCATCAGTTTACTTTCAGTTATAAGCTGAGGAGGGACTGCATCCTTGTTCGAGGTGTCCTGTTTTTATGCATCAGTTTACTTTCAGTTATAAGCTGAGGAGTGACTGCATCCTTGTTCGAGGTGTCCTGTTTTTATGCATCACTTTACTTTCAGTTATAAGCTGAGGAGGGACTGCATCCTTGTTCGAGGTGTCCTGTTTTTATGCATCACTTTACTTTCATTTATAAGCTGAGGAGGGACTGCATCCTTGTTCGAGGTGTCCTGTTTTTATGCATCACTTTACTTTCAGTTATAAGCTGAGGAGGGACTGCATCCTTGTTCGAGGTGTCCTGTTTTTATGTATCAATTTACTTTCAGTTATAAGCTGAGGAGGGACTGCATCCTTGTTCGAGGTGTCCTGTTTTTATGCATCACTTTACTTTCAGTTATAAGCTGAGGAGGGACTGCATCCTTGTTCGAGGTGTCCTGTTTTTATGCATCAGTTTACTTTCAGTTATAAGCTGAGGAGTGACTGCATCCTTGTTCGAGGTGTCCTGTTTTTATGCATCACT